GGGGTTGATCGCCATAGAGGAATCAGGTAAAAATGGTTGTGCATAATAGAAGGGAAGGGTAGGTAAAATGGTGGCATGTGCTTGTGAAGTTAGCATAGTAACATGAGTGAATAGCATCGTAGCAACAAGAGAGCGTGTGAATGGTTGTGGTTGTAACTTTCTGGTACTGGCCGTCTATCATTGATACGTCACGGTGAATATCCTCATCTTCAACTGTTCTCATCGTTGTCGTATTCCCCAAAGATGGCATCGTCCTCACTTCCATCCATAGCATTACTGATACAGCACTTTTTGAATGATCGTACGATACTTCCTAATGGAATATGCAGCCACGCTTCTTCCACGCACTCTTCAATTGTAACCATGTCAACCTTTTTCACCTTGCCACCCTTCGTCAACACTAAATTAGACGATGCCATCCATTCAATCCACCTAATCCTAAACCTATCTTTAAAGGGCTTATTATGACAAACATTTAGTGACTGCAAGATTGATGTAAGTTCACCGGGAATTAAAGCCACAGAGGACTTCAGTTCACATCATCGTTTCTTTACCTTCTCAGTTCGGTGTGCCCTAAAGGAATCCCAAACCAGTACAGATGGTCTCTTTAAAAGGGAACCACTTCGGTTTCCCCAAACTATATTGAGGCCGGACAAACACCGCTTGTGAACATCGCTCCATTAGACAGCGTCTTACGCTTAAAAATAATGAAAGGTGATAGACGGGAACCATCCGCCGTACAGCCTAAAACAACTGTGAACCGAGTCTTCTCGTGGTTCGTCATCTTTTCAAAATCTATGTTAGCACCTTTTTGCTCCACCGTACGCTTTGCAGGTATATCAAAGCACATCGGCGTCTCGTCCGTATTTCCTGTATGGGACGGTTCAAAGTTGTATTGCTTTCTCAGCTGAAGCACGAACTTTGAAAAGATTCAACTTTACTATCCAATTCCTTCGGCACTTTCTGCGCTAGTTTTGTGCGGACCCGTAGACACATGTCGAATTGGTTCATAAAACGATTGCACCATCCGGAGGAAGAAACAAAATTCACCGGTTTTTATGGCTGAAATCCCGGACTGCTTTTTAACCTTGTGAGCCCCCTGATCAGAACGTTCGTTCAGGTAACAACTAATCCCCTCTGTCTTGACTCCCTAACTCACGGCGCTAACTTCTCCTCCAGTGCAGGAAACATGCTTCTTCTACCGCGAGCCGCTCTCTTGCCTACAGGCATTAGTGACAATTCTTACATTTCCTTTCGCCATTCTCTCACTTGCTTTTCATTCACCGTGAAATGGCGTGCAGCCACATAACTATTAGATTGTAAATAAGACAATGGAAAGACTGGTATTGCGAGATGGAACCATTTCGTGTTATCTGCTCACTCGCAAACCAGCAACAAAGATACAAATCAGGTGAAAGAAAAATCAAAGGTTTGAAACTGGTCACAAAGGAAAATGACGTAGACGCAAGATTAACAGATCGACGAGGTTGATCTTAGGGTCATGAGCCCTAAGGAAGCGTTAGGGGGACTGTTAATTGTTTCAGTACACAAAAAATAGGGCGATGTCGGTTAAGTGCTACCGCTTCGGCAAACCTCAAAACTTTGGGGTTTTCATTTCGATAGATAACTGTAAATGTTGACCTAGGGTCAACTTGATGGCCTGTTTCGAGTAGGTGTCTGGCGATAGATGATGCCGACAGCTTAGATACCTTTTCTTGTTTGGCTGCTTGTTGTGTCGATATTTTGGCAATCCGTTTTGGGAATATGCTCTCCAATGCGCTTACCCAAGGATCGATCTGTTCTGCCAATGTAACTACTACCGCAATTACAAACGAATTCGTAAATGCAATGGGTTGTGGCGGAGATCGGTTGAGGAGTCTTCACTGGAGGCATAGGTAACTTCCTGGTCTCACAAATGGGGCAGAATTTGGCGGCATTGAATTTCCGATGAATCGCTGTATGCAAACGTCTTTCAAGTTGGGCGGCCACGATTTCACCTTTGAAAGGTAATTGAAGGTAGACAGACACTTTGGGTACAGTAAGTACCCTCGACCCGTTTTCCTTCAGTTGACTGTGGAATCGAATAAACGCCTCTGGTTATCTGTTGGCCGTAGCGTCTGTATGATAAACAGCAATTCTGATTCCAAACATTCGTCAGTGCATATTCTGCGGGCTCGATTAAACAGCGTCTTGACTAAGCACCGCTGTTCAATGATAGGGGCGAAGCTGTTGAAGTGTTCATACAGTCCTGTCCATGTAGCTTTCCTGTGAACAGAACGCTTTATGGAGCCGTCTTCTCGTCTGGTCAACAACACATCCAAAAACGGAAGGTGATTGTTATCCTCCAGTTCACAGGTAAATCGGTCGTTTGGCTGGGTGTTTTCGAGCACATTTAGAAAAGATAGAATCGAGTCTCCACTTGGGGTGATCACTAGTGTGTCATCTACGTATCGCCTGTATAAACACACTTGTTTAACGTGCGGTTCACATCTCATTTCAACCATCGTCATTAAGATGTCAGCCAATATTGGGCCAAGCGAACTTCCCATGGCTACACTATCCACCTGTAGGTACGGCTTCTCTTCAAATAGGAAATGCACATTTTCCGTAGATAGTAAAAGCAAACCTCTAAGATCTTCCACGGGAATCGGTAACACTACTTTATTACTCATGATAAACTCACATAAGAAATTCACCGTTTCTCTTAATGGGATGTTAATGAACAAAGACTGTACGCCCATTGAACACATTACCTTGTCAGCAATATTCATGTTTTGCACAGTCAATCAGGTCGAAGGTGTCCCTCACAGTATACTTTGTCATCATTCGTCTCACCGGTGTAAGCAGATCAACTAGCTAACGTGCCAACTTGTGGTATGGTGAGTTACACATGTATAGTACAGGTCTTAAAAGTGTTGGCCTTGTGGATCTTCGGTAAGCCATACATTTGAAGGGTGTTCCCATTGGCTTTAGAGAGCTGTACATCGCTTCTGTTATCATTTCCATGTTGTAGCAATCATTTTAATTGATTAGTTGCCCTTTTTCGATTTGTGTTACAATGGTTTCGCTTAGGTCTTCGTGAAATTTGGATTCATCTCCCAAGATCTCATACATTTTGCTTTTGCAGTCAAACTTATTCCTAATTACAACCCATGTGTCTTTGTCAGATTTTAGCACCAAAACTTCTCTTGCCTTCAGATCACGTAGGGCTTTGATGTGAGTTCTATCTATACAACAAGTTTGGTGTATCGCGGCCACCATAAAACCGTTTGCAATGTCAACGAGCTTAATCTTGAGCTAGTTGTGCTGTTCCTTAGTCGTCGGGATCAATTTGGAGAGTTGGTCCAGTAGGTTTTCAAACTGAGTCTCAACATGTATTCGGTCGACATTCTTTGGCGGAATCGTAAGTCACGTTCGATGACAAAGCTTCCATTTGTTTTCTGTTCAAGGATACGGAAGACAGGTTGTATACATGCTTCTGTAGGTTGTCAGAAAAAACGGGTTCTTCATTTGTGTTTTCAAGGGATCTACGCAGGGCCTTGTCCAATTTCCTCCTCGTTCTGTCAACAACAGTTTTGCAAAAATTCGTGAATTTGATGCGACAAGCCAGTGACAGCTGGTCAGTAATCGCTATACGGCGTTGGTATGTTTCCATTAGTTGCACAAAGGTTCTGTTCGCTTCATCCAGATAGGAGTTGCTGAGGCGCTTCAGGTTTGTGATGGTAGGCCTCAGCCGATTCCAGCGTAGCAACTTGCAAAACTGTCGTGGATAATGCGCATTGCGTTTGCAATGAGATAGAAAACGAATACGCATTCTCGTCGCAGCAATCTTGCACTTCAGTATTACGAGTCGGTCATTGATTCTCAGTTGGAAAACCTACTAGACCAGCTATCCAAATTGATCCCGACGACTAAGGAACAGCACAACTAGCACAAGGTTAAGCTCGTTGACATTGCAAACGGTTTTATGGTGGCCGCGATACACCAAACTTGTTGTATAGATAGAACTCACATCAAAGCCCTACGTGATCTGAAGGCAAGAGAAGTTTTGGTGCTAAAATCTGACAAAGACACATGGGTTGTAATTAGGAATAAGTTTGACTGCAAAAGCAAAATGTATGAGATCTTGGGAGATGAATCCAAATTTCAGGAAGACCTAAGCGAAACCATTGTAACACAAATCGAAAAAGGGCGACTAATCAATTAAAATGATTGCTACAACATGGAAATGATAACAGAAGCGATGTACAACTCTCTAAAGCCAATGGGGACACACCCTTCAAATGTATGGCTTACCGAAGATCCACAAGGCTAACACACCTTTAAGACCTGTACTATACATGGCTTTGGAACAGGACATCGAATGCACTGACAGTAACCGTATCAGTACCGGGGATGCGACCAGTCACTTACGAGTTTGCATAAAAATGCACATTACCACTTTAGCTATTGCAAATCGTTATCAAGTGCCTACCGCTGGCGCCTGTTCCTTACCTTCAAAGACGGCCATCAGACGTATCTGTGCACGCAATTCCTCAACGTTGCCAAATTTTTCCATTTGAATTCACCGTCTTGTGCTATTTATTTCGGTAAGATCAAAGGCAATATCACGTTGTTGGGATAAGGCTGGTTAAATCGTATGCTTTTTACTCACCACTTGCGTAACAAACATTTCACCCGTTATTTGTAATGCGGTTATCCAATCTAGCAGCATTTGCATTTAAACCTCGTTTGTGTGCATGACTGAGTTGTTGCGCCGAGCTACTGGCTCGAAAGCTTTTCCATACTGCATCGCAAATGTCACTTTAAATCAAGACCTAACTTTTCCTCACAACGGCTGTTTCATACTTCACCTGTTTGCACCACTTATTCTCAGATTACTATTGGCATTAGGAAACTTGGCTCTTGTCTAGATCCTCCCAGTTCCACAGTTTTGTTTTTCTCTCAATCTTTTTTATTCTGCTTATATGGCTCGTTCCTTTTTGTTTACTTTCTGTCAGTATTACTGCGCTCAACGGGCCAGCCTCTATGGCTGCTTTACGTTGCCTGGTCAACTTTGTTTACGAAAAAACAGCCGATGAGGTTAGTTCACTTTACTCGCCTTGAGGAGGCTTATGTCCTTCCGATGTCTCCTCATATTTTATCCCCTCTCTATTTGCTTATTTGTCCATTTTTGGCGCGCTGTTCGTTTCAAGTGTGTCATCTTCTTTACCAATCCGACTTTCAGCTCACCGCCTCACGAGCTCGCGGGTTTGAACTTCTATCCCGATTTCTGACGCGGGATCCAAATTATTTGCTGAAAGATCCCGCCCAGCTACCTCGTCTTTTTGACGTGTTATCGGAAGTAAGCTCTATCATTGTGTGAACTTAAAAAAAATCACCTGGTCGCTCCGCCTATCAGTCTGATGATTGCATTACCGCATTTCTAACCAGTATATATTTGATGGCCCACTTCACTCCAATCAACTCTAGATGTTTTCACGTTTGTTTGTATTTTGCTCCTTTTAACGTTTAGGCTTTCGCTACCACCTGCTTCGATCCAACTTTATTTTTATACACATGTTCTTTTTTCCAATTTGGAGTTGCAAACTTTAGGCCAATGCAATTGGACCATTTACGGTATGCATTTTAGTGTTAGCCTTTTTGCACACTCACTGAGTGTTCCCAAGGAATCTATCCTACTTCGATTTGTTTCCAAGGTTTCTGAGTGCTGTGTGAGTTTATTTTGCACTTGTTTGTACAAGTCACAGAGTTGCAAGAGAAGAGTATTTTGTTCCAGTGAATCGTTTTGCACCAATGCCGTAGAACTAAAAAAGCGTTTGTGAACTGATGACAGCGGTCGTTGTGGGATCCACTTTTTTCATCTCAGCATTATAGTCAACACCTGTCATACAGCTTTAGTTGCAAGTTGTCGATTACGTTCCGTGCACTAAATTACGATAACTCTAGTCGCAAAGAAAACTTTTCCGCGAATCGCATCAGGCAATTACATCTACAAGGTAGATAGAGATAAAAGGTGTGAAATGGCTCAGTAGATTCGGTCCGTATTTAAATTCATCGATTCTGTTGGTGGGGGACTGTAGCTTTGTTGGACGCTGATCTGACCTGACCTGACCGGACAGCTTATTTACTTATGGAACAATGTTGGGTAAACCGAAGAAGTGAACCGCATTCAGTTGTCACCAATGTTCCATCTGAATAAGTTCTTCTCAAGGCCACGGTAGACAGTTTGCATCAGTAGCCTCTGCTTGAAAAGCTTTGGTTGCAGCAGTCTGATCGCGATCGCTTCAGCTGTCCTAAGGAGTCATTTTCTAAGCCTCCTTGAGTATCACTTTGGCACGCTGTAAAAGACTTTGAAGGCATCATTGGTCGACATCTCATGTCCACATAAAATTAGATGTTCCAGAATGGGACTATTGATATTCTTGACGATGCCTCGCCGCAACGACCCTGGGCAATGCTCAGCTATCCTAGTTGCCTTGACACACTGCCAAAATAACGATAGTCATTCACAGCAGTACTTATGATCCTGGACACATGTGTGGGAATTCAAATTGTCCGAAGGGGTAGTCAAAAGTCCAATGTATGAGAATGATGTGGAAGCAGGTGTACTGCCTAACTGTCGCAGAGTAGACTGGCCTATGCACTGAAATCTCGATCGTACATTTCTATCCCCTTTTCATACTTTATGCGTACCTATTTCCACGCTCGCATGTAATGCAGCAGGCCACGTCCTTTGTAATGCACTTGTCCCACGCTACCAGTCGAATCGCCGTCCCAGTGACGTTGGTTATTTCTTTCAAGAGATTTAGCTTTGCATTCATGACAATATCGACTTCGGCGGGGGTTGTGAGACATTGCCCCGCCTTTCCTCATTGTGTGAATTCAGCAGGTCGTCTCACCCCGATTTCGAACTTATGCTATACATGCGTTATGTGCCTCGTTGATAGACGCAGCTCAGTTATCTCATGTGGTATTTGCCCGACCTCCATCATTCCTGTCACAGTTGGACTCATTAGGCACCATCATGTGTTCTGGTACGCACACACCATCGATGCTCATACTATTTCTCTTTCACTTTTTACAACTTGCCCACTATATTAACCTCAGTAGCTTCTCGAGCCAGCCTGTTATTCTCTTATACTTTAGGATTTTTTGGGGGTCGTGCTTTTGGGGCCAACTCCCTCTTTTACACAACCTTCGTTTAAACATAAGCTGAGGATGCTCCACCTCAAACCACTTATTTGATTGGAAACGCCGGTTACCCATTTTCTTGTGGCACAATTGTATAAATCGCCAACATTAAAATGACTGAGGGTTTGGGCGGGGGGGGGTTACCCTTGTTCTTGATTCATCAACTCATGTTCTTCTAAATATGTGGAGGCTGTTTGTGGTCATTGTAACTGCTATGCACATTGGAGGCTGACGAAAGTTACTTTGTTATGTTATTCAATCACATTTGCTGTTTTTAAACCGAGGTCATCCATCCCAACTTGGAATAATTCGAATCTACTTCAACCATCTGTTTGGTTGTTGTTGTTGCCTGCTTCGTTAAGTGAATCAGCATTTTCTCATTAGCGTAATGACTTCACTCGAGTACTCATGTTGTACCTCTTCAGTTCCTAACAACTTTTCGTTTTAAAGTTCTTAGCTTCCTTATAATTAGACAGCATAACAACTTAGATTCACTATGTTAGTTATCAGAGTGCTAAATTGCACCCTACTTTAAGGCGTTTTTTTCGGTTACCAGCGAGGTGGTGCCACCACATGTACAGACATATAGATCAGAACAAATGGATTTATCTTGCAGTAGGAAACCATAGAAGATCATACTGCTTGCTTACTAGGCTCCACTAGGCTGGTCCTCTTTCTAATACAACAATTTTGCGAAGAGACCTACAGAGTTTGTCCACTTATTCCCCATTTTTCACATTCATTTCCCAGGTCGTTTTGGGTTATGTCGATATTGGGTCGGTTTGTCTGTTTACAATATTATCTCACTCAACTTGTTGACATGGTGGATAGTAACTCATGTTTTACCAGCGGTTTCCTCTAGTTTGATAACTAGGGCTTCAGATAAACCAAGCGTCTCAGGGAACAACTCAAACTATAGTTATTCTACAATATCCACGCGCTAGCATTTACTCTTGGTGTTGTAAACCCATCCAACCCCAGTGAGGGCAATAGCTTACGTCCATTGCAACATCAGCGTTTTCATCATCTGATGTGTGGAAGCCCAATACGGCCGCTCTAATGACCATCAAGAAAATTTCAAAACCATTAGACTAGGAATGGCTTTATCCTATTCTCTCCTATTGTCAAGTTACTCGTCCTTGTTTGCTTAAAATGTTACGTGCACCCGGTGGTCTACCTCAGGCCTGGACTGGTTAGTCCAACTTCGACGACACTTGGCCGGCGCTATTCAGTTTGATAACACTTCCCCTCGGATGCGTCAGTTGACTGCCATGGAAGCGCACACCGTTTTTTGCTTCTATTTAGTCTAAAAACCGAAACGATGTTTCATAGTAACGCGTTGTTGACTTCCTACGAACCGTCTTGAAATCGTCACATTGTATTCTCCTAGAGTTCTACTCTTGGAGATAGCATTCGCCGCAGATCTCGCCGCGCTTGTTCACTTTTGAATTCGACAATTCATTTTCCTTATAATATTTTATGAAACATGATTTGTCATTTCATCCCGCGGGAGATGAAAACTATCTAGAGAGTTTCCGAAGCTGTGTTTGCTAGACTGACTCGATCGCCACGCTTTGACTGTAGCTTCGCACTGTCAACTTTCAAGGTAACATTTCTAGATGTGGTTGACGTACGAGTGGTTCTCCTCATAACCAACCAACAAGTCGGTGGTTCAACGATGCATTAGCTCTAGTGCTTTTATCACCTCTAATAATCAAGTCACCGGGGGGGGGGGTTAGTGAGGTTATGGATAAGATTTTGCCGCCTGCCAATTTTATTGCAATTTACATTAGTCGGGACAATAACTTACCTACTGTTGACAAGGCACGAATGGTTACAAGTGCTAAACCAAGGCGAGTCGGTCGACGTCATTTACATTGGCTTCAATAAGGCTTTTGACAAAATGAATCATGAAGTGCTTCTCAATAGGCTGTGGGTGCGCGGTGTTGGCGGCTCGCTACACCGATGGATCAGCAATTTTCTTGTTGGTCGAAAGTGGTGGGTCCAGGTGGACAACCAGTTAACCGACTGGTATACATCGAGCAGTGGCGTGCCCCACGGCACTGTACGGGGGTTCACTTTGTTCCTGATCCATGTAAACGATGTGCTTCTCCGTTCATCTTGTACTTTGTTTGCAGTTGACTTGCAGGTGTGGAGAGTAATCTGCGCACCCAATGACTGACCTGTTTCAGCAGGACCTCGACCGCCTCTCCACGTGGTCTGCAGAGGTCAACCTTCCGATCAACCCGGTCAAGTCGCAATTCATATAGTTGGGTAAGTGTGAGCACAGTCAAACCTACACGGTGGCCGGTCGATTGTTGCATCCCGTGCATTTTGTGCAAGACCTCGGTGTGCTCTCACGTTGCAACCTAAGGTCCGTGGAAAACACGAATAAACTTTACCAACACGATCTTCGTATGCTTTGGGCGCTCAGGCGCAGCTTCAGCACATGGTCCGAAGAGATTGCCGCTCACCACTTCGTTTCAATAATACGACCAATGCTAGAGTATGGCTCTGCCGCGTATTGTCCTATCACCCGAGACGAGGTAGAAAAGATTGGCCGAATGCAGCATGTAGCCACAGGCTGATTCCCAACTTACTGGGTGTGCCGTACGAAGACCAGTGTAAGGAACAAGGGCTTTACACTAACTTATCGTCGACTGCGGGTGGACCACATCATGACGCACCGGATATTACATCTCTGTGATTACCCCATCTTGAGGCCGCTGCTTGATCTGCGCACACCCAGCAGACCACGAGGACAGCGGTACAGGCTTGTGGTACCGGATTTGAAGCGAGTCGCCCACCAGCTCTGTTTCCAACGGAGAGTGGTGAATGTATGGAACGATCTGCCGCAGCACGTAGTTGAGACAAAGTTGGTGTCGGAATTTAAGAAGTTCCTGGATAAACACTTTGCCGATATAAACCAAATCGAACGCACTCCAACGTAAACGAGCCTATGTGCCCGAGTGATATTAATGCAGCTACACATAGATATCACTTCTTTCTGCTTCCAACCAGTAATCAGCTGGTGGCCGAAGGGTAGAGACGCGTCACCAGTCCGAATATGCATAGCTGCGCGCGATCTCCTAGCATCGGTATCCAGCGCGCGGTTAGTCATGCTCGCTTAGCAGCGAAGCGTCGGTGCATACTGCTGTTATTCTTATGTCAGTCGATGATTTGGTGCAAAACGCTGTACTTCTACACGGGTAGGAACCAAGTTCACTGTGGCTTGCAGGCATTATAAAGTGCCGTCACTTTTCTCCATAGTGCTCATGCGTTGTCCATGTCTACCTGGGGCACCAAGCTGTTACATTTGAGGCTCTTCCACCATATTACTGCACAAGTTGTTAAGCTCTGACACTTCATGCAGATTGCGTCGAGCTCTTCTCATTTCTTTCGGCTATCTTACATCTGCGTGGGTTGTTTACGGCTGGTTTTTCGGATGGGTCACACGATCGCTACTCGACGATGTGGCAGTCTACCTCAAGTGACGGATCGCAATCTTCCGTATTTCCTTTTGTTTCCTCATCTAATTGGAGAGGAATTCATGACCGAATTAGATACCTTATCGATTGTTTCCCCCTATACACTTACCCTTTTATTTGGCTACTCAAATCTTTTCGTTTGTCATTTTTAGGTTGTAATTCCGCTCACTAACCCTTTTTTTCCTTTCACATTTCATTACATCGTTTCTCCATCTTCTCTTTCTAGTGACACTGTTCACTACACCCAAGGCCATAACTGTTCACTGTTTTACTAAACACAGGCTTAACAGCCCACCAGACTGGGTATCATAACCGGCTTAGCTTTCATTACAGACGTATTCGAACAGTCTATGGTGCTGTTATTGTACCATTGGATTGAGACTTGTCGCACTTATTCGGAACAAATCAATTAAACCGGGAGTTTCATTGCATCTTATTTGTGAATCGTCAGTCTCTACTCTCTACTTCACTAAAGACATGTATGTTCGGTGCTACTGACGAGGGGATTAATCGGCTTGTACATTTTGGTTGGTTCCAACAATTTTCGATGGTATTTTTTATCTAATCTTTTATCTTTATGTTTCTTTGCGTGTCTTATAACACACAGGCAATGTCGTCGTGTTGGCCGCCCAAATGTAGCTCATCAGTGCACAGTTTTCCACCCAATGAAACAATGGTTTGTAACAGGTAAAAAAGCACAGGCTTTGCATGTGCCGTAAGTTGGTACTAGAGAGAACTGAGATTCAAATGCAAGTAGACCAAATAAAATGCGCATCGGTGGAGCTATCGAGTACTATTGTATAGGAGGGTTGTGGGAGTGAGATGGTACCAGTTAAAACAAAATAGCAGATTCTTATGGTTACTACTCATTTTAAAAATAAGCAAATTGTTCACCCCTCTGTACATATTTAGGGTGAGCACCACGGTATTCGCACTTTTTCCGTAAAGTAGTAGTTCGTTCAGTTGGTGATAGAATTCATCTTTCACTGAGTCAGCGCTACAATTTGTGGGGGCATAGACCGCTATGGCAAACACGCACCGTTTGCCTGCGCGCGACTTTGAAGCTATGAACGGGACAACCATTCTGACGGTGCACAGCCGGCTGTTGATTGGGATCCTCTCAACCAAAACACCTTTAATCCGGGACTCAGAGCAGTGCCCATACCGGCCTGACCAGTATTTAAAACTGGGTCATCTGACGAACGCAATGAAAAAGTGTCGCTAGCGTCGCTTGTGGTGGATCGCAGGGTAATCACGGAACTCGAATCTTGCAAGCGGCTTTCTGATAAGCGGCAGATATCGATCGATAGGTTCTCTGTTGTCCGGACGAGTGCTACCTTTTGGCCAATCCGCAATAGAGTACGTAGGTTGAGGCGTGCCAGCCCTAGCGAAGATCAGGGGCCCCAAATAGGGACAGATAAACTAACGTTGTTCGCTTGTTTGAACATGGACCTATCGACTGAACTGGAGCGACGCCCTGCGAATGCATGTGAGTCGAAACTAGAAGACAAGTGACCATTAAAGCAAGATGAAGAGCAAGGAATTTTGTGGTTAAAAACAGTGCAGATAAAAGTGACGTTGGAACGGGACGATGAGGATGAAAATGCTCGAGGGGAATAAGAAGACGGGAAGACTTGAGCAGTAACGTCCTTACCCCTATCCACCCTACTCGATGCAGCAGATAGGGCGCCGTTTATTATCCTCCGCGACGGCTGAGTATCAAAAGTCATTAGAGGAGAAATTCGTTGTATTACGTGGGCAGGATACTGTCAGGTTGTCCAGTCGTATGGTTCTCAACCAAAGCCTTTGGTACAAAAATTTGACTAAAGCAGCGGGGTCTTGGCACTAAACTACTGAGTCTGTTTTACGACGTAGGGTCAAGAGACTAAGTTGGTTTGGCCGCTAACCACTGAGCGACTCTGGAGGTGCAAACGGCACCACCCAGCATAGCTAAATGGATCGCTGAGGAACGCAAACCATCGCACCACATTAAGGTTCACCGGCGTCACGATAGACACAGGCAACGACTCTCTATTATCGTCTTAGACCTTATGCGTAGCTCACATTCATAGCCTTCTTGGTTTATTCATATCCAGGTCCTTGCCGAAGGTCAAACTCAGTTCTTCCGGCGTCTTACACATTGTATTCACTGTCAGTGAAAGAGAAAAAGTTTTCCGGCTACATCTTGGAGCTGCATATAGCAAAATCCGTTTTCTCGAGACATCCTAGTTATTTCTAATTGAAATATTTCCTTTTACAATGGCATTCAATTGCGTGTATGCTGCAAATCAAGCCCACATTATTTGTTTACTTGTTCATGTCGGTTTGCTCTGGCACTCTTTAAATATTGATGCCACACACTATCTGCCCATCAAGTCCGATTTCATTTATTTCTGTACTATGTCCCCTGTCCTCGTCAATTTTTCGCAGGACAATCCAACCGAATTGAAGCTAGCAGCGGCTAACTGCCTTCGGCGCTTAGCCGTTACCTTCCAGGACGCACAGCGACAAAATTTTGCCTTGCGTAACCAGTTAGGAAAGCTGGAGCGCTTACTGTATGAAAATATTGAGAAGGTTGGTTCCAAATGTAGTTCTTACATCTGCTTACCATGCGGCTTTATTCTCTGACCATCTATGGCTCGTATGAAATATTGGTCAAATGGATGGATTGGTTAAATGGATGAACGAATTTATATGTAGTAATAATATTACCACTTTTACTAAGTCGCACTTGCACATTATAGACCATAAATGATGACAGGTTGTTTAGTCCAAGCGTCATTGTAGTGTTTGAAGTGTAACCTTGACAGCAGTGCCTTAGTAGTGACTGCCGGATGTTTGGGATAATTCAACTCCCAGCTTTTCTTAGGCATCCGATGATTCAGACAGGTAATTTGTATGCTGAGCAGCACCCTCCTTATCATGTATATTATTTCAATTCTCCTTCCTCCAGTGAGGAGCCGTTTACTCCTTCCTACTCTGGCGTGAGCCAAACATCTATCAATGCAACAACAAACAACAAAACAGGTTATTTGTTAACACATCAGGTGAGAAGCGCACTGCAATCAATGTCTGAGTGATATTGGGTCCCGATTTAGCTGGCATATGTATCCCCCTATATATTGCCATCGAGGACCTGTATTGTAGAAGCGCATTAAGTCAGTTCACAGTTACATGAACTACAGGGACCACTACGAAAATCTGCAAATGAACTCCGAAAACTATCTTCGCATTTAGGGTAAGCGATAGTGTTGTGGAGATTGAAACGATCGATGCTATAGGGGTTCAGAATACAAGCAAGCCCAAAATGTGCCTATAAGTGGTTGAGGAGTTGATTTAAGTTTCCGTGTCCATCTTCCACATAATCACAACCGCTTCGAGTTTCTTATGGTCGGTTAACAGCCAATCAACTTTTGAAGATGACCCCTTGTAACGGCGTCCACAACTTTCTTGTTTTTTTTATCGGACACCGCAATATCTGTTTACCTCCTCATTTTCTCCTTGACGTTTTCTACCTATCCCGCTCCCGTACATCCTGTGTCCATGTACTGAATCTCGTTTGTCTTCAGTTTTCTTACCGCCATCACCATAATCATGATCATCATTGTAAAGTCTAAAGAGAACTTTGAATATTCAGCCAAACTGGTTTACCTATTGAGGACATACTATCCCTTTTTTCCACATCCTTATCGAAATTTATACGTCTTTTTTTCGAACACTTGTATTATGAAACACTTTACGTTTTTACTTTGCATATCCTTGACTCCTCAAGGTCAAACATTGACAGTCTGCCGATTAGCGAACTGCTACCCTGTACGGAATTGCGGCGCCGCTGCACGTCTTGCATTTCCTGGCATTTCCTATCACGGTTGCAAACCTATTCCACTATGTAAAGACTATACGAAGCCTAGACTAGGTAGTCGCACGAGATGGGCGCTAAACGGTAGGCTAGTAAATCTATTCTATACGGTCTTGACAGAGAAATTAAAACGTAAATTCCTGTTATCGTGCGTATAGTATAGGTTTACTAGCCTACAGTTTCTTGTCAATCTCGTGCGAATACTTAGTCTAGGTATAGTCTTTACATATTTTGATAGTGCAACAATGTCTTTCTGATTTTTGTGCTAAGGACTGCTGTGATGCTGTTGACATTACTGATGTTTTGTAGTTATGGAATGCTGAAACCCAGATTAGAACGCTGGAGTCAGCTCTGGCTAAGATGCGTCTGCAGGCTAAGCAATATAAAGATGATGGTTGTTTTGAGCACGATATTATGTCGAATCAGCCGACTAGTAAACGGACAGATTCTTTGCCTTACGATGTTTGTGGTCTTCCATCGGATGCTGCTCTTCGATCATCTTCTCTAAAGCCGATTGCTTAAACTCGGCGCATGTCGTCGGTGGCGCGTTTGGATGATCAGTTTAGAGTCTCATGTTGGGGATCGCGGAGCAGACCTCCATTTGGATTCCTATGTTGCCACTAGCTGCTTTTTTGAACCCAAATCCAACTGTTTCGGTCCGAACACGATGTCCTGTCTCCCTAAGCGAGGACTGATCGTTATGGGATTTTTTGTGGTGCTTTGAAACCAATCTGACCCGAATTACTTCCGACCTGACGACCTGATTTTCATATCTGATACAGTACTGCTGTAGTGAGGCCAAAGAAGTCATCGAAAGCTGTTTGGTCCTCGAACCTGCTGAAGATTTCGAAGAAGCAATGGGTATTTGGCGCAAGCGCTTCGCACGACCTCATACGATAGCGAGGACCCACAGCAATGCTTTAACTTATGGACCAATGGTTTTGTAACCCTCTCTCGTCAGCGGTCCTGTCACTTTATTCTGAAGCAGTTATGTTACGAAGCTGATCTGAACGCCTCGCGAACAATTAGCGCCATAGTTAAACGACTGCCGAACCATTAAAAAAATAATCGCCAGCTGCACTTTTATTGATTTAACGGAGTTCGAGTATGAAACAGTCGCTGTCGTCGATACTCGCCTGTCTTTTATCCCACGCACCTTCGGATCAACTGCCAACACGGATAGAAGTAGCGACTTAAATCCCTGTGGTCGTGCCGCTTACTCGAATGCTGTAACATCCGTAGAACGGCCTCACCTTAAATGCATTTTCTTGTGAACGACCTCATTATTTAGATCAATGTGATGAATTCTGAAAACTTAACTACCAACAGCATCTAGAATTCTGTTGTTCTCACCGACTGTGCCAACTGTGTCTCAAACCGAACCATGACTTCCAAAGCTGCCGTTCAAGAAAGTATTGTGGATTAGGCAACTGTAAGCTGCTTCATCACCTGTTGCTACATGCTGATCAGAGTAAGAAGAACTCCGGGACACTGAATACCGAACGATCTAGTTTCGCTCTAAGTCATGCCGAAATGCCTGATGTTTCGCTTAGTGTATGACCCGTTATAGTCTCTGGTCCTGCGGTCACCGTTCAGACGCTGGCCTTGGTGGAAAACGGGTAAGACACTCCAGTAATCGATTCTCACATGCTTCAAAATATCGGAGTTCGAGGGTTTGTGAAGACACTGAACCTAAGTACTGCCGCTGGCCGATTCCAGGCAAAATCGCATCCGGTTAGTGGCACTGTTCACACGATAGATGGTGGTGAGGCAGTCCGGTTAAACATTGTCAGGTCAGTCAGTCGTCTCTCCGAAACACTTGAAACGGACACACAAAAAATGATTTCTACGTATGGCCTCACTGATGCGACTTACGGTTTCCAGAAGCGAACGGTAAAATAGAGTTTCTGATTGGAGGTGATAACCCATATTTGCAGTGGGCTTTGGATCAGAGGCGCGGGAGTGCCAGCGATCTGTACGCTGTTAGAACCCAATTAGGCTGGATAGTATTGGGTCCGAGCAACCTGATCGAGTTCAAGGAAGATCAATCTGCGTCAATTGTAGTGGATCGCTTACAGAAGATAAATTCGGTTCGCTCCGAAACCACCACCCTACATCATTTATCCAAAAAATGTCTGCAACGGACTTTGACGGCTTTAACAGTCCCAGATTGGTCACGTCCGTGAACGACAGGCTTGCACCCAAACTTATGGAGACTTCCATAAAAAGAGTCGGCGATCATTATGAGATCGCTTACCATGGCAAGCTGAGAGGCCACGGTTACCAGATAATAGATAGGTCGCACTGTTGCAGAAGCAACTTAAAGGAGGCTACGCTACTCGGTTCTTCCACTAAGGTAGTGGAAGAATACGTACGTACCGATACGCTTAGCCGGCTCCACTCCAAGAGGAATAGATCAAAGGAGAAACGTGGTACCTACCACATCACAATATCGCATCCGCGTAAACCGGGCAAAACACGAGTAGTTTTTGATTGTTAGGCCTCACCGCGGTACTTCTCGCAATCAACAGATTTTGCATAGTCCCAATTTGTTTAGTTGGTTCTCTTTTGCGGTTTAGATCCCGATCAATCGCGATTGCACCCGACATTGAAGCAACATTACACTAAGTCAAGGTTCCCAGTCGTGACAGGGATTGCTTGATATTTCTATGGTGGAAGAACGTAATCTCTGCTCATCTCCTACTGTATATTGCATGCCAGTACCTCCGTTTGTAGCCACTTCGTCATTTTGTTGTGCAAGTTTTGCTTTACACCAAGCCATTACCGATAATGCAGACGAATTCCAATCGGAGGTTATTAAGGTCGCAGAAAGTTGTTTCTACGTCGATGATTGCCTCTTCAGTGTTGATTCTTCACGAAGCGATTGAACTCGTCAAGCATCTTACTTGTGTATTGGCTATGCGATTTGTGACCTCACGGACTCTAATATAGCTGTCTAGGTACTTGAATTTTTGAACAGCTTCTCCTTGATGCCCACCAAAAGTTAGCCGATGGGTGGGTCCCTGTCATTCTTGGAGAAGGACTTTGCATTTTGATAGAGCAAAGCATAGCCCAAAACCATTGACAGCTAGTGCTGCATAGCGCGTTTTGGAACTATCACAGACGAGAGCAATGTCGTCCGCATACTCCAAGTTAAGAGGTCGCTCACCATGAAGTAACTCCACACCTTGTAGGTCGTGTCTAGCGAATGCTGTTTCCATGACTTCGTCAATGGCGAAGTTAAAGAGGAAAGGTGACAGCAGGCAACCTTGTCTCACCGTTGAGGATATTGAAAGACGGAGGCAATTCGACGTAAACCCTCACTCTGTACAGCATTCGGATATTGTTTACGTTTTTATCGGACACTCCTTTCCCGATTAGGCAGTCCCAAAGGGCACCTCGATCGACCGAATTGATGGTACCTTTGATCTCGAGGAACACGACAACAGTGGGTCTCCAGTAAACATGGCGGTGCTCCAACAATTGACGTAAAGTAAGGCTCTGGTCGATGCAGGCTCTATTTCGACGAAACTCAGCTTGGTCCTCCCGAATCTGACTTTCACGACTGCCGGTCATTCTATGGAGTACGACAGACGCAAGCATTTTAGAGGCACTGGAGATCAGACAGATTCCTCTATGATTGCCGCATTCCGAACGAGAGCCTCCCTTGAATATCAGTACAACGACGGAGCGACTCCAGTTCGTCGGAACAGTT